AATTTTTTTCATGTGAGATTTTGTGGAAATTCAAAAAATTAAGAAATGTCCCAAAGCTGAAGTTCTAAACTCCATAACTCAACTTATCTTAATCGGATTTTGAAGTGGCATACCTCTAAATGTTTCTGGAGCAATTCTCTAAATAACTGCATTTAAATTTAAAAATGCAATTTTTTAAAATTTTTTTGTAATTTTTTTCATGTGAGGTTTTGTGGAAATTCAAAAAATTAAGAACTGTTCCAAGGCTGACGCTCTAAACTCCATAACTCAACTTATCTTAATCGGATTTTGAAGTGGCATACCTCTAAATGTTTCTGGAGCAATTCTCTAAATAACTGCATTTAAATTTAAAAATGCCATTTTTTAAATTTTTTTTGTAATTTTTTTCATGTGAGATTTTGTGGAAATTCAAAAAATTAAGAAATGGCCCACAGCTGAAGTTCTAAACTCCATAACTCAACTTATCTTAATCGGATTTTGAAGTGGCATACCTCTAAATGTTTCTGGAGCAATTCTCTAAATAACTGCATTTAAATTTAAAAATGCATTTTTTTTTAATTTTTTTGCTATTTTTTTCATGTGAAACGTTGTGGAAATTCAAAAAATTAATAAATGGCCTACAGCTGAAGTTCTAAACTCCATAACTCAACTTATCTTAATCGGATTTTGAAGTGGCATACCTCTTAATGTTTCTGGAGCAATTCTCTAAATAACTGCATTTAAATTTAAAAATGCAATTTTTTAAAATTTTTTTGTAATTTTTTTCATGTGAGATTTTGTGGAAATTCAAAAAATTAAGAAATGTCCCAAAGCTGAAGTTCTAAACTCCATAACTCAACTTATCTTAATCGGATTTTGAAGTGGCATACCTCTAAATGTTTCTGGAGCAATTCTCTAAATAACTGCATTTAAATTTAAAAATGCAATTTTTTAAAATTTTTTTGTAATTTTTTTCATGTGAGGTTTTGTGGAAATTCAAAAAATTAAGAACTGTTCCAAGGCTGACGCTCTAAACTCCATAACTCAACTTATCTTAATCGGATTTTGAAGTGGCATACCTCTAAATGTTTCTGGAGCAATTCTCTAAATAACTGCATTTAAATTTAGAAATTAAATTTTTTTCAATTTTTTTGCTATTTTTTTCATGTGAGACGTTGTGGAAATTCAAAAAATTAAGAAATGTCCCACAGCTGAAGTTCTAAACTCCATAACTCAACTTATTTTAATCGGATTTTGAAGTGGCTTACCTCTAAATGTTTCTGGAGCAATTCTCTAAATAACTGCATTTAAATTTCAAAATGCAATTTTTTAAAATTTTTTTGTAATTTTTTTCATGTGAGATTTTGTGGGAATTCAAAAAATTAAGAAATGGCCCACAGCTGAAGTTCTAAACTCCATAACTCAACTTATCTTAATCGGATTTTGAAGTGGCATACCTCTAAATTTTTCTGGAGCAATTCTCTAAATATCTGCATTTAAATTTAAAAACGCAATTTTTAAAAATTTTTTTGTAATTTTTTTCATGTGAGATTTTTCATGTGAGATTCAAAAAATTAAGAAATGGCCCACAGCTGAAGTTCCAAACTCCATAACTCAACTTATCTTAATCGGATTTTGAAGTGGCGTACCTCTAAATGTTTCTGGAGCAATTGTCTAAATAACTGCATTTAAATTTAAAAATGCAATTTTTTAAAATTTTTTTTGTAATTTTTCTCATGTGAGGTTTTGTGGAAATTCAAAAAATTAAGAACTGTTCCAAGGCTGAAGCTCTAAACTCCATAACTCAACTTATCTTAATCGGATTTTGAAGTGGCATACCTCTAAATGTTTCTGAAGCAATTCTCTAAATAACTGCATTTAAATTTAAAAATGCATTTTTTTTTAATTTTTTTGCTATATTTTTCATGTGAGAATTTTTGGAAATTCAAAAAATTAAGAAATGTCCCGAAGCTGAAGTTCTAAACTCCATAACTCAACTTATCTTAATCGGATTTTGAAGTGGCATACCTCTAAATGTTTCTGGAGCAATTCTCTAAATAACTGCATTTAAATTTAAAAATGCAATTTTTTAAAATTTTTTTGTAATTTTTTTCATGTGGGATTTTGTGGAAATTCAAAAAATTAAGAAATGGCCCACAGCTGAAGTTCTAAACTCCATAACTCAACTTATCTTAATCGGATTTTGAAGTGGCATACCTCTAAATGTTTCTGGAGCAATTCTCTAAATAACTGCGTTTAAATTTAAAAATGCAATTTTTTAAAATTTTTTTGTAATTTTTTTCATGTGAGGTTTTGTGGAAATTCAAAAAATTAAGAACTGTTCCAAGGCTGAAGTTCTAAACTCCATAACTCAACTTATCTTAATCGGATTTTGAAGTGGCATACCTCTAAATGTTTCTGGAGCAATTCTCTAAATAACTGCATTTAAATTTAAAAATGCAATTTTTTAAAATTTTTTTGTAATTTTTTTCATGTGGGATTTTGTGGAAATTCAAAAAATTAAGAAATGGCCCACAGCTGAAGTTCTAAACTCCATAACTCAACTTATCTTAATCGGATTTTGAAGTGGCATACCTCTAAATGTTTCTGGAGCAATTCTCTAAATAACTGCGTTTAAATTTAAAAATGCAATTATTTAAAAATTTTTTTGTAATTTTTTTCATGTGAGGTTTTGTGGAAATTCAAAAAATTAAGAAATGTCCCGAAGCTGAAGTTCTAAACTCCATAACTCAACTTATCTTAATCGGATTTTGAAGTGGCATACCTCTAAATGTTTCTGGAGCAATTCTCTAAATAACTGCATTTAAATTTAAAAATGCAATTTTTTAAAATTTTTTTGTAATTTTTTTCATGTGAGGTTTTGTGGAAATTCAAAAAATTAAGAACTGTTCCAAGGCTGACGCTCTAAACTCCATAACTCAACTTATCTTAATCGGATTTTGAAGTGGCATACCTCTAAATGTTTCTGGAGCAATTCTCTAAATAACTGCATTTAAATTTGTAATTAAATTTTTTTCAATTTTTTTGCTATTTTTTTCATGTGAGACGTTGTGGAAATTCAAAAAATTAAGAAATGTCCCACAGCTGAAGTTCTAAACTCCATAACTCAACTTATTTTAATCGGATTTTGAAGTGGCTTACCTCTAAATGTTTCTGGAGCAATTCTCTAAATAACTGCATTTAAATTTCAAAATGCAATTTTTTAAAATTTTTTTGTAATTTTTTTCATGTGAGATTTTGTGGGAATTCAAAAAATTAAGAAATGGCCCACAGCTGAAGTTCTAAACTCCATAACTCAACTTATCTTAATCGGATTTTGAAGTGGCATACCTCTAAATTTTTCTGGAGCAATTCTCTAAATATCTGCATTTAAATTTAAAAACGCAATTTTTAAAAATTTTTTTGTAATTTTTTTCATGTGAGATTTTTCATGTGAGATTAAAAAAATTAAGAAATGGCCCACAGCTGAAGTTCCAAACTCCATAACTCAACTTATCTTAATCGGATTTTGAAGTGGCGTACCTCTAAATGTTTCTGGAGCAATTGTCTAAATAACTGCATTTAAATTTAAAAATGCAATTTTTTAAAATTTTTTTTGTAATTTTTCTCAGGTGAGGTTTTGTGGAAATTCAAAAAATTAAGAACTGTTCCAAGGCTGAAGCTCTAAACTCCATAACTCAACTTATCTTAATCCGATTTTGAAGTGGCATACCTCTAAATGTTTCTGAAGCAATTCTCTAAATAACTGCATTTAAATTTAAAAATGCATTTTTTTTTAAATTTTTTTGCTATATTTTTCATGTGAGAATTTTTGGAAATTCAAAAAATTAAGAAATGTCCCGAAGCTGAAGTTCTAAACTCCATAACTCAACTTATCTTAATCGGATTTTGAAGTGGCATACCTCTAAATGTTTCTGGAGCAATTCTCTAAATAACTGCATTTAAATTTAAAAATGCAATTTTTTAAAATTTTTTTGTAATTTTTTTCATGTGGGATTTTGTGGAAATTCAAAAAATTAAGAAATGGCCCACAGCTGAAGTTCTAAACTCCATAACTCAACTTATCTTAATCGGATTTTGAAGTGGCATACCTCTAAATGTTTCTGGAGCAATTCTCTAAATAACTGCGTTTAAATTTAAAAATGCAATTTTTTAAAATTTTTTTGTAATTTTTTTCATGTGAGGTTTTGTGGAAATTCAAAAAATTAAGAACTGTTCCAAGGCTGAAGCTCTAAACTCCATAACTCAACTTATCTTAATCGGATTTTGAAGTGGCATACCTCTAAATGTTTCTGGAGCAATTCTCTAAATAACTGCATTTAAATTTAAAAATGCAATTTTTTAAAATTTTTTTGTAATTTTTTTCATGTGAGGTTTTGTGGAAATTCAAAAAATTAAGAACTGTTCCAAGGTTGAAGCTCTAAACTCCATAACTCAACTTATCTTAATCGGATTTTGAAGTGGCATACCTCTAAATGTTTCTGGAGCAATTCTCTAAATAACTGCATTTAAATTTAAAAATGCAATTTTTTAAATTTTTTTGTAATTGTTTTCATGTGAGATTTTGTGGAAATTCAAAAAATTAAGAAATGTCCCAAAGCTGAAGCTCTAAACTTCATAACTCAACTTATCTTAATCGGATTTTGAAGTGGCATACCTCTAAATGTTTCTGGAGCAATTCTCTAAATAACTGCATTTAAATTTAAAAATGCAATTTTTTAAAATTTTTTTGTAATTTTTTTCATGTGAGATTTTGTGGAAATTAAAAAAAATTTTTTTTTAATTTTTCCTACTGTTTTATAAATGTTGAAATTTCTCGTTCGCACTTCCTCTGGCTGAGTAACGGGTATCTGATATTCGGGAAACTCGACTATTGCATTCTATCTCGTTTTTTCGTCAAAGTTTTTCAAGCTATTGTTCAGCTGCAAATATTTAAGTTTTGACTAACTACATTTTTAAATTTGACTTCAGTTTGTAAGGTCCAATATAAAGCTGTAGAGGCACTGAATCCACTGCTCTTTCGCATGTCAGTTGAGTTTGAAACACACTCGTACCACACCAGACACCAAGTGGGCCCAAATCAGAAGAACGGAAGGGGGAGCCCCCATAGCCAAGCAATTTGTGTCGTTTTTGCCGTCTCATTTGGCACACGGCCAGTGCATTGGGCCAAAATGCAATCGAGTGCACGCCCGTCTGCCAGCCTGCGATTCCGAGCGACTCCGCGTGTCCGGCCCCCTCGCAACTATAAATTACATTCCATTAAAAAATCATGCCGCGGCGCACAAATCAACATCAACTCAATGAACATAAATTGCCAAGTCGAGCTGCTGGAGCGCGGGGTACGTAAAAAATGGGGGTGGTTGACAATCGCTGGGCGGCGCTAACGGATCGATCGACCTTCACATTGGCCGCCATGGCGACAACGCACATGGCCCAAAATGCACACAAACAGGGCCAAAAAGAAAGAGGGGAATGGCCAAATGACAGGACTTTGTACTGAACGGCCAAGCGGTCTACAGTGGGCATACGAAGTGCCAGATCGGGTGAATTAGGTATGAGATTATATAAGAGAATTTAAAATTTAAAATGTAAGTTGACGCTGTGTAAAATAAAGAATATATTTTCAAAGCCATTTAATGAAATAACGCTTTTGATTAGTACACTAAAGCATCTATACATTTACAAATATTTTTAAAATGAAAGCAATATATAAGGTAGTTTACTTTTTGTCGGTGTAAGATTTCACCTATTTTAAATTATCAGCCTGGTCGATTCATCCATAAGTCCCGCATTGGTCATAAATCTCGCAGATAGTGCTGCTATCTTAATTGGTCCTGTCCACGGTGCGGCTAACGTAACGCATTTGGGAGCTGTCCGACGTGGATTCCGGTGCCTCCGAGGTTTCCATTTGATGGCCACTGGCCTTCCAGTGGATCCAGAGTTCGTTTTGAGCTATTTCTGCTGCGTGGGCGTTTGTGACACGCAGCTAGTTTTGTTATTGTGCCCCCGAGTGATGTTTGCAGCTAATTAGAAACGCCCCATACGCCCTCACATGTGCCCAGCAAAAGCAATCTGCAATTACAGCTCTTGGGAAGGAGAGGATGTCTCAGGACATGTGCGAAATAAGTGCCAAATGATTTGGCTTTCGGAGCGGGCATGTAATTAATGGAGCGTGGCTTGAAATATGCAAAGCTCAATCAACTGCATTACGCAGACCTGGAATCCCGCTAGCCCGCCCAGATCTTTTGCCCTCCTCCCACGGTGAGTCCATTTCCGCCCGAACACGTTGTGTGCAACCCCATCCACTTCCTCCTCGGCGCCACATGACGTGCCGTTGATATTTATGCCGTCGCCATTGTCGTCTCAGTTCTCGGAACTTCATTCAGCATCCCCTCCAGCTCGGAATTCAGGACGCAGGACTCGCTTCTCCTTTGAGCGTAATCAGCAACGTGCCAGGGTAAGGTAAAATCACTATCGCACCGCAGGAAGTCGAAGGATACAATGTATGTTCAATGCACTGGAAATAATGGGATTTCAACCTTTCGGCGAGTAATGCAATTTGAGCTGAAATAAATATTCATGAAATACAACTGCCCCATTTAATATTCCTAAGATTAATTTCAAATATTATATGTTTTTATTGGGCTAATAGCATTTTCATCTTGAATGTTTGAACGTGAACTGTTTTTCACCTTGTGTTCGTTGGCGGCAGAATGATGGGAAGGTGGCGAAAGGATGCGAGCCCTGCTGAATCTAGTTTAGAAACGTTGCAGGACAAGATCCTGTCGGCAACGTGATGATGTTTACATCCTATGCAAATACAATTAATTCCACTTTTGTGGACAATCTTTGTGCCAGCAGGTCTGTGGGGGCGAGTGCAAGTGTGACACAGGAAATGTTGACACTGCCACGGGCATTGTAGATCAGGATGCCAAATGCCAGAACCCTTTTGTTGGATTTTCCTGCTGGTCCTCTTTGTGGCTGTTAACCCCGAACACGAACACTTCGAAATTTCCTTTTTATCTTTAGTCGAAGGCAATCGATGACGCAATGGTATAAACAAGTCGTTCATCCCAGCGCTATAAAAATTATCTTACATTTTAGGATTAGGATTATGCTACAATATTCATAATTTCGTAAATGCTGAACCTGGCCTATAAAATTAATCTTAATACGGTATTTTCTGCGTGTAGTTTCAATTCCCTTCACCATGCTATAAGTCCCTGTGTCATCCTATCATCGAGTTTCTCTGTCTGGACGTTGCGCATTTGATTTGGGTGTGATTAAGCGAACTTTGCACCTCGCGAATACCACAAACCCAATTGAAAGGGGTTCATGGTGCAGAATACGAAGCTTGTTGCACGCTGTGCTTACATTTGCATTACCAATAAACAGAATTGCAAATTTAAACACCACAAATCTCCCGAAAGGAGTACAGATTCTGTTATAACTTCAAGGTTTGCGGCTTCACCTTTAGCTATGTTAATATCAACACCCCAAGGCTATGGGCAATTGAATTTCTTTAATGAATTGATCCCCTCTTGGGGGTAGTAGAAAAATTCGAGGAGTGCTAGAATAGAAATATTATAAGGCCATTGAGTTTTACATTTCTGTGTAATTTAATCAGGGCTAGTAAATTTACTTAACAGATAATCAGCAATTCGGCATCGTCGGCAATACGGCATCGTCAAAATGGAAATTATACAATGATGAACACGACTTGGTTTGAAGCCCACAGTGCTCTTCCAACTGTAACTTAAGCCTGGATGTATGCAACGCTTTTTAATCAACCCAATAAAATGAAACCAACTTGGGTTGCTTTGCTCTTAAGGTTTTTTATTGAAAGATGTTACTTCAACACCCTGATGTATGCTGATGTAAGTTCATTTGTTGTTTTTATTTCTTGTATATTGGATGTACAGCTGGTTGTTGTTGCCGTTTTCAAAAATGAAGGTTTTATTTCACAATAATATTTTAAGCTTAATCCTTCCGTTAGGTATTGTGTATCCTTCGTTCGTGTCTGTTATATTTTCACATTGCACTTCAAACAATTGTGTGAATAACAACGATATGCAGAATTTGCAACTTGAATAACGTGTAAATTAAAACATGCTTTGATAAATATGTGGGTTAGTCATTGGTACAATATTACTGTATTTAAATATGTACTGTGATAATGACGTTGCTGCTTTAGTTACTTCCTATCCCGTTTTGGATAGAGAATCAGAGATGGATTCAAAAAATTCTAGTAACAAGCTTTGTGCCCCAGCACAGTTTAGAAGCCATTGGACACTGAAGTCCAAAGTTGAATATATAATAAATAAATTTTTTTTTAGTATTTTGCAACAACAAGTTCTCTTTTAACAATGTAAATATATGTATATAATGTTAATAAAGTTGTTTTGGGGGCTTTTCGGGTTTATTGTAATGTGTTTGTTTATTCTCGTCATTTGTTTCACTTATACTTATCAATCATAAATATAAAGTTTAATAATAATTATAATGGTAAAACATCGATTTTCATAGTGGATCTTTTATAAAACATTAAAAAAATTCAAAAACTTTGTGCGACTTCAATGATTCAAGCCTAAAACATTTAGGTGTTGTTGGTAGCGATTGCTGTTGTTTTCACTATAAAATGTGTTTTTAGCCTAGCGATTTACGACATATCCTTTTGTTTTCATTGAAATCTTGCATAATCATAATAATAGAATAGAAATTGAATAACTTCAACAATAATAGGTTCATGTGCTTAAAACTAAAGATAAAATTGCTTCTCCATCGAACATATGCATTCCTTTCTTCTGCACTCATCATTTAGTTGTTCTCTAAAATAATGTTATAGTATAATAAACTTGCAAAAATGTCACGTACTACATATATACGAGTATAACATGTTTTGAAAGTGTAATCGTTCATCTCTTCTTTTTTTTTTGGTTATTTTTTGTAATGCTTGCTTTGCTTAGCTCTCGAAACTAAGGTAAAAATAAACAAATCTGCCAAACATTTCCAGCAATCTGCTTCGTAGTTCTCTTTATAGTTGCATGTAGTCAAGGTCCACCCAAACTCCTTAGTAGGCGTGGTTGGCCACGAACAGGGATCCGGATCCGGCACCAGCACTTCCGGCAACGTACTTGCCCTGAGCGGCATCACCGTTGGCCTGGGGAAGGGTAAAGAAAGCGGGGGAAAGTGATTAATTTCGTTCTGCAAAATATCCTGGAAAATACGAAGCCTAATGAGAAATGCCTACTCGTAATTATTACTTAGTTGTAACTTGGCGAGCCGCAGCAGAAAAGTTTTTCGGGCAGCTTGAAAAGTTTTTACACTGATTTTTGCTGCGCTCGAAGAACTTTTGCCACTTTTTCCACCTGCGGCAATTTTACAGAAACTTTCCACGCATCCAAGCGCACGAATACATGCTGAAAGTTACAGCGGGAAGTTTTTGAAAATTTAATTTGCCAAGTTCTTTGGAGGAAAATTATGATTCGATTATATATAAGTAACAGCGCTCAGGCCATATTTTGCGTTGTTTTCAGCTCGACTGTCAGGTACAGATACTCAGATTTATTATTCTTAACAGTAGGAAGCTCGCAACAAGCTTTAGTTTAAATAAAAAATATTCTACAATCTATACAACAAAGTAACTAAAATAAATTAAATAAAATCAATAACATGTTATAAAAAGAAATATATAATTTATTTCTGTTCGTCGGTATAAAACAAAAGGTTTTAGTGTCAAAAATATTTTCTTTAAGATCTAGTCAGTTTATGCGGTAAAAGGTATACGAAAGGCTAAAAGGAATATATTTGCAGTTCCATGGCTGTAGGAATGTAAATGCCTGCCATCTCAGTCCAGCTGGGCCTCGATCAGTAACTCTTGCGGATTATCTGCAGTCGGATTGGGATATAGCTTCGCTCGATTCTGACTCGGGTGACTCGGGATTAGTGCGTGGCATTTAGGACTTAGTATTTGTGCTGGGCGACAAAGAGGTCGGCATTGCCGGCAAACGACGGAATCGAGCCGGGCACGTAAATACCCTGGCAGGCCTGGGAATTGGCCTGTGGAAGCGGGAGGAGAGCGGGATTTTGGTTGGGATTAATCAGATTTTGGGCTTTTCAGGATTAGGTTTAGAGCAAGCGAAGCATGAGTGACATGAGCATGTATGTTAATGGCGTTTTTAGTTTAAGCGGCTATAGTTCTCAAGTTACCCCATTTAAGCTCGTTCTTCGCCATCTTAAGGCAGTAATGCTTCTGTTCGCTGTTCAGTACTTGTGATCATCCACATGCAAATTATCTTTCCCAGCGTAACCCTTGACCGATCCAGCTGTATAGTTACCACAAGCCGCCTCACCATTAGCCTGAGCATGATGAACATGTGGTTATTGATGATGAAATTAATGTAAAATGTAGAAAAACTTTGTAAGGAATGTTGGGAAAAGGCATTTCTGAATAGATTAGATTTGGATAAGGGTATCGATAGATGGGCGCGAAAATCAACCATTTAAATGGGAGGAACATGATGGCCTAAGAATTGGAAACGGGATCAATGGTTGGGACTATAATAATATTTCTTAGCCCGTGCAATACTCTCTTCCGAAGCAAATACCTGACATTCGTAATACATTCACCACTTAATGCTAACTACAACCAATACATAGATATAACTATCCCAGAACTCACCTTGGCGCGCTTGAGCAGCTCGTTCTGGCCGGCGGCGATGTTCTCCTTCTTTCCAGCCCAGGCACGCAGGACGGAGGCCTGGAGGGCACGACCGTACGAGAAGGTCAGGGCCCATGGGCGGATCAGGGGAACGTTGTTGATGGCGCTCAGGTTGACGGTGGCCTCCTCCTCGGACTGACCTCCGGACAGGAAGGTCACGCCTGTGGACAAGCAATCGATTAGATAGGATTCATTGAAAAACCAAGTGCAACTTGAAGAACTCAAGGTGCAAGCATTCCAGTCCAGGGAGTACAGAGACACCTGGCCTTGATGACTCACCGGTAACGGCGGCGGGAACGGTGCGGCGCAGAGCCTGCACGGTGGCCAGGGCGATCTCCTGGGGGGTGTTCTTCTTGGCCGACTGACCGGCGGTGACCATGTTGGGCTTCAGCAGGGTACCCTCCAGGTAGACGTGGTGGTCGCTCAGGGCCTTGTAGACGGCGGCCAGGACGGTCTCGGTGACCTTCTGGGCGCGGTCCAGATCGTGATCGCCATCGGGCAGAACCTCGGGCTCCACAATTGGGACGATGCGCTGCGACTGGCAGATGGAAGCGTAGCGGGCCAGGACATTGGCGTTCTCCAGGATCGACTGGTAGGATGGGGTGTTCTTGCCGATCTTGAGGACGCAACGCCACTTGGCGAAGTCGCAACCGTCCTTCTTGTACTGGGCGCAACGGGCGGCCAGGTCATCCAGACCCTGGGTGGTGACCTCATCCTCGGAGCCGAACAGTGGGACCACACCCTTGTCGACCTTGATGCCCAGAATGATGCCCTTCTTCTTCAGGATCTCGGCGAAGGGGGTGCCATCGTCGGCCTTCTGGTAGAGGGTCTCGTGGAACAGGATCACTCCGGAGATGTTCTCGGCCAGC